CGTGCCTCCTCCACGCACCCCTTCTACATACTCGTCCAGCTCCTTTTCCTCTTGCTCCTCCTTATTCCTCTTGCTCCTCCTCCTCCTCCTTCTCCTCCTCCTCCTCCTCCTCCTCCTCATCATCATCATCATCATCATCATCATCATCATCATCATCATCATCATCATCAGCATCAGCATCATCATCATCATCATCATCAGCATCATCATCATCATCATCATCATCATCATCATCATCAGCATCATCAGCATCATCATCATCATCATCATCAGCATCATCATCATCATCATCATCAGCATCATCAGCATCATCATCAGCATCATCATCATTATCAGCAGCAGCATCGTGATCGTAATCATCATTTTCCTACTCATCATTCTCCTCCACTTCCTCCACCACCTCCGCCTCTTTTTCCTCCTCCTCCTCCTCCTCCTCCTCCCCCTCCGCATCCCCACCCCCTGTCCCACATTATCCTCCACATTCTGCATCCCGATCCTCCTCCTCCTCCTGCTGCTGCTCATCCTCATCGTTTGGTGGATGGGAGTGGAGTGGGAGAATTGGGAGGGAAAAGAAGAGCCTGCGAGAAGGGGAAGGATGATAATGCCTTCCTCGTACATGTCCTGTTAGCTAGTCCACCAGTAGGACAACGCTTCCACGGAGTGGCGAAACATCTGTCGGCATCTTTGCCTTGAGCTTCATCTCTCGCTCCTAACTCATGCATATTCGGGCGCGGGCTTTCTATGTGAGATTGCCCATGCTGGTTTTATGGTCGAGGAAAAATTATGGGGCCAGGCAAACCTGAAGTGCCTGCCTCTACTGCACCGCATGATTCATCCAATATCTGGCTTGGGTGCCAAAGTCTTCCGCTTTCTCTGAAAACATGTTGAGGATTTCCATATACTTGTCCAGGCCAGACATAGTCGCCCGTTTCGTAGCAAGCTGTGTCTATGCGGTCGACAAGGCATCCTCCATCTCCGTGGCCTTCGAATTGGCGCGTCCTCTCTCGACTTGCAGGCCTTCAACTCGCTCGCCACGAACCACCCTGCAAAGCATCGTGGGACATGGTAGCCGTGCCGCTTTGACGACAACGATCACGAGCGATCGCTGGTGTCAGGGATCACCTGTTGTCGCGTACGAGCCCGCCAAGCCTGGAAACCAATATGAGTTCTCTAGGCTCTACCACCATCTCTGCCTAGTACCACTCCACTGAAACTGATGAAATACTGCCAGACACTTCGCAGAAAAGGGGGGCTGAAACGAAAACCGCATTACAACTCCTCCGAATTATCGTGTGGTGTTGGGCCCTCGTTTTGAAAAGACAGCGCCCCGCGTCCACTCCTCCCCCTGCCCCCATCCCTTCCTCATCCCCTTGCCTCATGTTAGCACATCACTCACACGCGTCGTGGCCCCATAGGAAGCTCCACCGAAGGCCCCAGTGGCAGTGCTCACACGCGTGCCCTGCACCCATGCCAGAACATCCTTCACACGTGTCGTGGCCCCACAAGGGGCTCCACCGAAGTTTCCTGTGACAATGCTCACACCTGCGCCCCGCAACCATCCCGGCACACCCCTCATACTTTTCGTGGCCCCCTAGGGAGCTCTACCGGAGGCGTTAGTGTCAGTGCTCGCATGCGCCCTCCGCGCCCATTTCGGCACACCCATCAGACGTTCCGTGGCCGTATGGGGAGCTCCACCCAAAGTCCCCATGGCAGTGCTCACACGCGTCAGCCCGCACCCATGTCAGCCCCTCACACGGTTCGTGGTCCCCGAGGGAACTCCACCGAAGGCCCCGGTGGCAGCGCTCACATGCGTCACCCGCCTCCATTTCAGCACACTCCGCACACGCCGTTCGTGGTCCCAAAGGGAGCTGCACCGAAGACCCCAGTGGCAGTGCTCACATGCGTCCCCCGCGCACATGTCGGCACACCCCTCACACGTTTTGTGACCCTATAGGGAGCTCCACCGAAGGCCACACTGGCAGTGCTCCCATGCGTCCCCCGCATCCATTTCGGCACATCCCTCACACGCTTCGTGGCACCACAGGGAGCTACACCGACTGCGCCAGAGGCAGTGCTCATATGCGCCCCCGCACCCCCGTCGGCACACCCCTCGCGCGCTCCGTGGCCCCACAGGGAGCTACACCGATTGCGCCAGAGGCAGAGCTCACACGCGTCAGCTTGCACCCATCTCTGCACACTCCTCACACGCTTCGTGGCCCCGAAGGGGGCTACACCGAAGGCCCCAGTGGCAGCGCCCGCATGCGCCCCCCGCACCCACGATTCGTGGCCCCATGGGGCGTTCCTCCGAAGGCCCCAGTGACAGTGCTCACACGCGTCAGCCCGCACCCATCTTGCCACACCCCTCACACGGTTCGTGGCCCCATAGGGAGCCCCACCGAAGGCCCCACTGGCAGTGCCCGCATGCGTCCACGCACGAATTTCGGCACACCCCTCCCACGCTTCGTGACCCATCCACCGAAAGCCGCAGTGGCAGCGCTCACGTTGCTCACATGCGTGCCCCACACCCATTTCGGCACACACACAGGGAGCTCCACCAAAGACGATAATCCCAATCCCACTAGCTCTCTGGGTGTAGGTGGTTGGTTTAACGGGCTTGTGCCTCCTGCTGCTAAAATCCCTCCTGCCCCTGCTCGGGGGATGTTTACCCATCCCCCATGCACCCTCCCCTGGGCCTGGGGGGGGGGCTGATGTGTCAGAGGGTGCTGCTCGGTCCAACTCTCTTTTTCCTCCTTCCCCTCCTCCTCCTCTCCCTCATGTTCTTCCTCCTCCTACCCCCCAAGATGGTCCCAGATCGAGCTTGGCCCAATATAGCCCCCGATAAACCTCCGAAAGGCCTCAAGACAGCCTCAAGATGACCTAAGATAGCTGAGCATGGCTCAGGCTAGCCTCCGACAGCCTCTAGCCGAGCATGACTCAAGATTGCCTCCAAGATGCCTCAAGAAAGTCTCCGATCGTGTATTGATGGGATGGTGGGGATTTGCGAAGCGTCAAAAATTGCATTACTCACACATGCAGTTGGTTGGGTCTTTCGTCCAGATATTGCTTTTCTTCGGACGATCCCCACCTTAGAAAGCGGGGGATGGATCCCCAGGGAACACTAGCACACTTTGGGCTTTGCGGCCGCGGCATGCAGATGTCGCCCGTCGAAGAAATAGGACGGGACACCCAAGGAGCACCGGCACGTTTTCTGCCTGGCGGCTGCCGTGCGCAGGGCGTGCGAGGTGGGTTTGGACATCTGTTCCTTAACTCTAACAGCCCCGACCTGACAGGTGGCGCGGCCTGCGAGACGTGCTGGGAAGACCCCAGCGGCAAGCGCCACCGCGGCCGCGTCGGTCGCGCTGGGCCAACTGGCCGTTCTGCGCGCGAGCCTGCGCGCGCTAGCGCGGCCCGAGCGATGCGCCAACCAGCGCCAAGCAGTCATCGCAATCGCCGCCGCATGAGTTTTCAAAACCTAGATGCGGGTGGATGTGTGGGATGATTGCGCGATCTGCGGTGTTGACAACTCACTGCGGGCATTACTGAATTCTCTGTTATTCTCCTTTTTAAAAAAAATATTAGGATATTCCCCGCCGGTCTTGACAATACCCATTCGCATATTGCAATTTTGATATGGTGATTGCCCCCCTTCCGCCCTAAATATAAATTCGTACCACCCCACACAAAAAGGCAATCCCTCCCACTCATCCGTTGCATTAAAGAATCGGCGCGGACACTCGTTAATCAAAACGCCTCGGTTTTCAAGAACACGTTGCGAGAAAGAAAAAACAACAGGACGAAATGCACACGCGCGCGTTTCCGCGCACGTGCCAAAATCCTTCCCAAACCCTGGGTGTCGTAAAGGATTCAAAACCGAGCGACCCGAAACAATATTATAAGACACGGTTACGCAACAAGGCTGTTCAAACAAAGGCCTGCGCTGACTCTCTGGCTGATTCTCCGCTATATATATATATATATATATATATATATATATATATATATAAAAAAACAAACATTCGTCTGTTCTTCAACATGTTCATCGCATGCTACCAAACGTGTCCTTCGCGCGCGCATGTCCATATCACTCGAACGCCATTGCGCGCGTGCTGTCGCAAAAAAACTTCTTCTTTTTTTGCGAAACATCGGACGAAGTGCGCACGCGCGCGCGTCGCGCGCATGAGGGAGATCTTTCAACAACCTCAAGTTTCGTAAAAAGTTCGAGAACGGGTGTCCCGAACACACACATAACACACATGGTTTGAACCACCAGATTTTCAAAAATGCTTGCGCTCGCGCTCCTGCGGATTTTTCAGACAACCACCGGTTTTCCCAACATTTTCATAACAGTATGCAAGATGGGCCTCTCGCGCCGCATGCTGAAATTATTCGAACGCCGTTGCGCGCGTGCTGGCGGGGGGGGCGATCCATGTAAAATCATTACACGCGGGCCTTTCTCGCGCGTTGGCAAACGCGCGCACAACTATTTCGTTCCACCATCGTCGTCACCGACGCGAAAACGCCGTCATCGTCGCCCGCGTGATCAGCATCGGGGCCGTCACTGGCCGTGCCGCCGTCGTTGTCATCATCGTCACCAGTATCGCTACTAGCACCAGCGCGTCTACCGTTGTCGACGTTGCCATGAAACCGCGCCCGCCCAAGTCGCCGCACTGAATTGCCCGCTGGGAAGTGCCCAGCGGTCAGCGCCACCGCGGCCGCGTCGGTCGCGCCAAACCAGCTGGCCGCTTCGCGCGCGAGCATGCGCGGGCTAACGCGGCCGCAAAGATGCACAGGCCTACGCCAAACACTCATCGCAATCGCCGCAACATGGGTTTTGCAAACCCATTGGTGGGCGGGTGGGTGGGGTGTTTGCGCGGGCAGTTGAGCTGACAAGTCGCTGCGAACAATGCATATCACAAGAGTAATACAGCTCCCCCCCTCCCACCGGACTTGATGGGTTTTTTTTCCGTATTGGGGTTATACGCGATTCTGGCCCATCTTCCATCTATGTATGAACGCATGGCATCCCAGCCAAACTTGTACCGCACCCCGTATCCTCTGCAACAAATATATGCGCGCGTACTCGGTTATCAAAAAAACCGTTGCGACAAATTGGGCCAGAGTGCACGCGCGCGCGCCTTCGCGCGCGCATGCCAAATCCTTAATAGCCTGGGTTCCGGGAGGACTTCAAAATCGAGTGTCCCGGAAACAAATAAAACACACATGGTTTCCCAACAAGGATGTCCAACACAAATTTGCGCTCGGGTGCTTGCGGACTCTGGAAGAAACCGCTGGTCTCCCAACATATCCACAACATGCTGCCGAAGGGGCTTCTCGCGCGCAGGTATCTTAATTGCAAGGACCCGTTGCAAAACATGTGGCCAAAGAGCACGCGCTCGTGTCGTCGCGCGCGCATGCCAGAATCCTCAGATAACCTCAGATTTCTTGAGGATTTCAAGATCGAGTGCCCCGGAAACATATATAAAGAAACCTGACTGTGCAACGTCAGTTTTCAAGAAAGCCTCCGCTTGCGCTCCTGCGGCTTCTTGATAGCACCATCGGTTTTTCAACATTTCCACTGCGCTCTGCCAGACGGGCCCCTCGCGCCGCATGTCGAAATCATTCGAACGCCGTTCAGCGCGTGCTGGCGAAGCGACGACCCGTGTCGAATCATTCCACGCGGGCCGTTCTCGCGCGTCGGCCGGGCGCGCATAACGAACTCGTTCCACAACCTTCATCACTGAGGCGAGGACGCCGTCATCGTCGCCCGCGTGATCAGCATCGGGGCCATCACTGGCCGTGCCGCCGTCGTTGTCATCATCGTCACCAGTATCGCTACGAGCACCATCGCGTCTACCGTTGTCGACGTTGCCATGAAACCACGCCCGCCCAAGTCGCCGACTCGCACTGAATTGCCCGCGGGGAAGTGCCCAGCGGTCAGCGCCACCGCGGCCGCGTCGGTCGCGCCAAACCATTTGGCCGCGCTGCGCCCGAGTATGCGCGCAAGCGCGGCGGCGGCGATGCGCCAGCCAGCGCCGAGCGGTCATCGCGATCGCCGCCGCATGGGTATTGCAAATCAAGTTGCGGGTGGGTGGGTGGAATGGATGCGCGAGCGGTGGAGTTGTCAACTTCAAGTTAGGCGGGGCGAATTTGCACAACATAGACTGCACCGCATATGATTGCTAGGATCACACTGTCTGAGGCCCACGCTGGCTGGTATGACCTCTCTCTCTCTCGCTATATATACATATGTATATGTATATATATATATATATGGCGGGTGCCTGTATGTTCTGTTACCGGCCTCTTGGTCCCCCGTGTCCCCTGGCAGCGGAAGCGACCCCAACAAGACCTTCCCCACTGCCACGTTCAACCAGGAAACCCATACGATGAGTTCATGTCATTCGTTCCTCGTTATTTTGAGGCTCATTTGAAAACGGTCCTGGTAAGGGCTTGGGCCCAAGGCTCTCTTTGTGTCATCGTGCCTTTGGCCCTAGACTGGAGGGGTGACGAAAGGAGGAGGGGGAGGAGGAGCAGGAGGAGGAGGAGGAGCGTTTCGCGAGAGACATCCTCAAAGACTGGAGGTTGCTTACAACGTTGGTTCTTAATATTGAAGCTTTCGTCAGGGACATCCCCAGACAAACGAAATGTTGGAGATCGGACGTCGGATATCCAAAATGGTGTGGGGGAGCGCTTCGCCTGAGACATCCTCACAACATGGGGATGTTGGAAGAGTTGCTGTTCAACGTTGGTTCTCAGACATGAGGATTTTTCGCCTGAAATGTCATCAGAAAAATGAAATGTTGGAGATCGGGCCTCGGATATCCAACACGTGTGGAGGAGCGTTTCGCTTAAGACATCCTGACACAGTGGGAATGTTGGAGAAGTTGACTTACGACGTTGGTTCTCAAACATGGAACTTTCGAACGGGGCATCCTCAAAACAACTGAAATGCTGGAGCTCGGGCGTCGTGTATCCAAAATGAGGCCGAGGGCGGGGCGGCGCTTCGCCCGAGGTACTGTTTTGTCGACGCTGGTCCACAAAATTGAAGCTCGCGCCTGGGATATCCTTAGCAGCTTAGCTTGACAATGCTAGAGATCGGGCGTCGGACATCCGACATTGTGTGGGTCGGCGGTGGGCAAACCTCCATTTAGTAAACCTCCCTTTAGTGACCACGGCCTAGGACCGAAATCGACGGACCTGGACCCGCAAAAATGACGGCCGCGACGCCCTCTCGCGAACCGAAAACGGCCAATTCGCTAATCGACGTGTCGGGGTAGGAGGTCTATCAACCTCCGAGGGGGGGGGGAGGCGGGCGCTTGGCCCGAGACACCTCCACAGCATGGGGATGTTGAAGGGACTCTTGCACAGCGCTGGCTCACGAGACCGAAGCGCTTCTGCAGCTCCTCCGGCCCCCCGGGCGGCAGACCGCCCCCCAGGCAGCCGTGCGGCGCCTCGACTCCTGTGGAGACACGGGCGCCGGACCGTTCGCCCTCCTCCTCAGGACTGGTGTTGCTCCCACCGTACTTTAGGGCCACATCCCAGAGATAATCTCGAGCACCCGGACAAGTGTCGAAGCCGTGCCGAAACGGTGTCGAGCGAGCGTGTCCCAGGGCCCGACACGTGAAGACCCTCAAGTTTCGGCACTTCCCTGGTGCTCGAGCTTTCTCTGGTGATCAAGGCTGAAGTACGTTGGAACATCATAGCTCAGGACCTGCTTTTCATCCCGAGCAGCTTGGAGCCTGTTTTTCTTTAGATTCAGGCAAGTGTACTTGCATGGCGTTCGCCCCCCCCCCCCCCACCCACCCCACCCCCCACCCTCCCCCCCCCCACCCTCGCCCCTCTTCAACCGAATGCGAGCGCGCAAGTGCCTTTCCACTTGCGTGATTTCCGCACATTAAGTCGCTTGCGGATTGCTTCAGCTTCAGGCCGCGCCCCCCCCACCCCCCCCACCCTGTCCATGCAAGTAAACTTGACAAAGTCTTTTTAAAAGAAACAATTCATTTTCATCCCGAGCCGATTGCTGACAGCCCCGAGGCCCGGAAAGGGCCCCGCGAAGCCGCAAGCCATGCAAAGCCTCCGCCTCGCTCTGCTCGAGGCGCTGGACGTCTCCCGCATCTCCTGGCGGACCAGGCCGAGTCGGCGACAACGCCTGCCGGAGGCCAACGCCATCGGAGCACCCAAGCACATCCTCGATGCTCGGCCTCCTCCCTCCTCTCGTCTCCTCTCGTCTCCTCCTCCTCCTCCTCCTCCTCCTCCTTTTCCTCCTCCTCCTCCTCCTCCTCCTTTTCCTCCTCCTCCTCCTCTTCCTCATCCGCCTCCTCCTCCCCCTCCTCCACCTCCTCCTCCTCCTCCTCCTCCTCCTCCTCCTCCTCCTCCCCCTCCTCCTCAGCTCCTCCTCCTCAGCTCCTCCTCCTCAGCTCCTCCTCCTCCTCCTCCTCCTCCTCCTCCTCCTCCTCCTCCTCCTCCTCCTCCTCCTCCTCCTCCTCTCGTCTCCTCTCGTCCCTCCCCTCACCGAGCTCTTCGCCTCCTCTCGCCTCCCCTCGCCTCCTCGACCTCCTCGACCTCCCCGACCCTACCCTGGGGCGCTCGCGAGGGCGGCGCGGCGCCGCGGGGGGCAGCCGCGGCACGAGGTTGAGCCTCTCTGGGCCTCGGCGGGGCTTAAGCGCGCGCGGCGGGCTGCCGGCCCGAGGCGCTGCGGCCCGAGGAGGCGCGCACGCGTGCCCCCCGACCCAGTTGCACGGCACACGCTTGACACCACAACTGCCACACCATATTAGACCTATGTCGGGCATGTCCCGCTGCAGGCGGATTTTGGGCCACAAGTGAAAAATGCTCAACACGTGCAGCAAAACAGGGACAGATGCTCAACAAAATCGTCCCCTTGTTATTTTGCCAGACTATTTTTGAATATTCCCCTGTAGATGGACAGGCCCGACTTCATATTACACCAGAGAAAGCCCCCAATCAGTGGATGGTCTTAAATGCGATCGATAAAAACATCGATTAGAATTTCGACCCGGAACCCAAGAACCTAGACCCACCGAAATCGGCCGGGAACCAATGACCAAGAGCCCGGGGACCCGGAACCGGGAACCCAGCCGGCGACCAAAATCGGCGGGAAACTTTCGCCAAATCTTTCAATTTCCGCTGGGACCCCTTCAGTGCAAGCACTGATTGGGGAATATCGAACGGCCTTCGGCCCATCCCGCCACCGTGCCTGGGTTGTTGGGGCCTCTTGGGGTCATCAGGCGCCTCAAAACATCGGGACAGAGGTCTCCTCTGTTTCCGGCCTCTCGGTGCCCATCTACTGGGCCTCGGGGGAGCTAAAAAATACTCGGGACGAGCAAAAACCAGGCCTGGGGAGGTGACCGAGCTGCGAGCCAACTTCGGCCATCTTGGTGGGTTCCTGGCACGTCTGACGCTGTCGGAAGCCGTTTGGGGGGCCTCTATGGGCCGACTTGGGGCCCTCTTGGAATGCTCCAGGGCCGTCTTGGAGGCCATCTTGGGCGTCTTGGAGGCCATCTTGGGCGTGTTGGAGGCCTCTTGGGCCGTCTTGGGGCCCGGGACGAGCAAAAACCAGGCCCGGGGAGGGGATCGAGCAGTCGGGGGCACGTCTCGAGAAGAATCGAGACGCCGGATGCCTGGGCACGTCGCCGCCGCCGTCCATCGCCCTCCGGCGTCCGCTGCCGTCGTCGGTCGCCCGTCGCCGCCGTCGCCGTCGTCGTGCACCGTCGTCGTCGGCTGCTCATGATCGTCCTCGTTCGTTCGTTGGACGTGGTCGCCGTCGTCGCATGGGGTGTGTTCATCGTCGTCGTCGTCGGCGTGGCCGTTCGTCTGTCGTGGTCCCTTCGCCCGTCGTCAGCGGTCGTTCGTTATGCGTCCAGCATTCTTGGTCATCGTTCGAGCGTGCAGCGCTCTTCGGTCGTCGTTACTTGTAATCGTCATTGTCCAGCAGCGTTCCTTGGCGACGCGTGGTATAGTGAGCGTTTTCATTCCCTGGGTCACGGTCGATTCCAGGGGGTGGAGGGTTCGGGCGGGAGGGTAACAGTAACGGCGACCGCGGCGTGCAGACGCCAGGGTGCGTCCGCGCCGCCGGGGCATCTATCGCCTGTGCGCACCACAGAATGCGGGGGGGGGGGTCCAGGCCATTCCCCCCAGTGCGATCGTTAGCGTCACCCGCGTCACCCCCCGGCGGACGAGCGTTCCCCAGGGGGAGGAAAAACAAAGACGCTCACCTGCTGCGGGCTGCAGGGCGATCGCGGCCGTCGTCCCCGTGTGCAGTCCGTGCAGAGAGAGCGGGCAGAGGCATAGCTAAGGAGGGCGGCCGAGGTAGAGCGGGCCGTCTGCCCGCCCCACGATGGAGGAAGGCAGAATGATAAGCTCTCTCGGTTGCTGAACTCGGAGAGGCGCTCGGAGAAGACTAGGACCTGGGAGCCCCAGTCTCAGAGAAGAGCATGCGTCCTACGACGCGGAGGATAAAAAGTCGCACGACCGCCTTCTCCGAATTCTGGGCCTCTAGAGAAACATTCTCGGGACCCTGAGGCGTCAGAACACTGCCCAGGATGACATTGAACCCTTTGCGGCAGAAGATCCTGACCAATTACTCTGAAGATCACGATGGAGACCACTTTAGAAAGTGAAGAACAGTATGGAGTGCACGAAGTGCATAAGTGACAAGGACGGAAACCATGAGGGAAACACATAAGGAGGCCAGCAGGGATGGCATAAGGGAGGCAAGAAAAACCAACAACGATACCATAAAGAAACCCATACGGAAGACCACACGGGATACCATAACGGACACCATAAAGAAGATCAAACGGAAGACCGTGGGGAGGCCATACAAGAAACCACGGGAGACCAGAAGGGTCTCCACCAGGGAAACGGGAAGCCAAGGGATACCTAATGGAGGCCATAACAGGGACCATCTTGAACCCTTAACCATTTGGGAGGGAACCTAAGTTAGGACAGCCACGAACATTAGCGGGCCTTATCTGCAGATGTATCAAACCAAACCGCCCAGATCTGGTATCCATGAATGCACACGCGGGTGCCCAAGATAAGCTACGCATTCAGTGCGTTATTGGGGTTAGGGCCATGAATGCACACGCGGGGGCCTAAGTTAGGCAAATTACGCCATCAGTGTCTTATCGGGGTTAGGGTTTCGCTTACTCTCGATGATGTCTGGGGCGCCACGGACTTCTCAGAGCGTTACGGAACTCTCTGAGAGCGTTCCGGAACGCTGTGGAACCGATCTATCCTCGTCCTGGCTCCTCGCCCTAGCCACGCCCGAGTGTCGATTAATCACTGATGTGATGCCCCTCCCTTGATATCGGAGGCGAAGATGTGACATCGCAGTGGCACGGAGAGCCATCCCATTGGGAAACCGCTATCGGTTTCGTGTTCGTGTCCTGCGTGCGTGCGAGGCGAAGAAGCGTAGACGGGCGAGAGGAATGAATCCTCCGCTGGCTAGGAACTAGGGCACCGCCGGGCCAAAAGACCGCCCTCCACGGTTTGTCCGGCGGTGGCAAGGGGTGTCCCGGGGTTGTCCCGCCGGTGTCCCGTCGGTGTCCCGCTGGTGTCCCGTAGAGAGAGAGAAAGAGAGAGAGAGAGAAAGATAGTAAGACCTATAGTGAGGTCGATAGTGAGATCGATAGTGAGATCGAGGGTGAAGGTCGATAGAGAGATCGGTTGTGAGGTCGATAGTGGGATCGACTGTGAGATCGATCGTGAGATCGATAGTGAGATCGATCGAGTGAGACTTATCGAGTGAGATCGACCGTGAGATCGATAGTGAGACCGATCGTGAGATCGATAGTAAGATCCATCGTGAGATCGATGGTGGGATCGATTGTGAGATCTATCGAGTGAGAACAACCGTGCGATCGATAAAGAGATCGATCGAGTGAGACGTTGGTTCCTCCCCTCCCGGTTGCAAGTGTTTGGTCGGGCGTGTCCTCCTACAGGAGGATTTTGGACGACAAAGAGAAAGTACTCAAACATAGATCCCAAACATGTGCTACTCCGCAAATCGTCCCCTGGGCCCATTTTTTCTATAATTTGAATACGCTCCTCTTGTGTAGAGGGACGTGCCCGATGGAACCAGAGGGACGTGCCCGATGGAACCTCGGCCCCCCGCCCTCCGAGCTGCTCGCGGAGGTCCGCGCGGACTTCTTGGCTCGGCCCGGGACCTCCCTCTGGGGAGCACGCCAGGAGCTATGGCGCCGGAGGGCGCCGCCGTGGGGGGGGGCTGCAGCGCCGAGCCGCGGCAGCCGCGCGGACCCTCGAGAGTTATGCTTATGCCACTCCCTTGAGCAAGAGCCGGCCGTCCCGTCAGTCCTAGAGAGGCCCACCACGAGATGTTTTCAGAGCCCAAGAATGTGTTCTAAAAAACCAAGCAGTGTTCCTTCGGAGCAGAAGCCCGAAGTGTGAAAGCAAGACGGGCTCAACCAGAAGTGCTCTAAGGACATCTCGTGCAGACCGCGAACGGTTTTATAGGG